AAGAAAAAAAATATATCCGCTCCGCTCTCATCGCTGGCTCCCGCCATCTGATAACTGCACTGTGATGGCATTTCTTAAATAGGGTGATGATGTCACAAGGGGGTGGGATCGCCCCGCCCCCTTGTGACGTCATGTGCAATGCTTTGACCAATGACAATGCACTGTCAGGGCGCTGTGCATTTTGGGGCATGGCGGGTGAACATTCAACGAACACACGAACGGCCCATGTTCGAGTTGAACTTATGTTCGACATGGACATGCAGCCCTACACTGTTAACAAGTATGCATTTTACTACAGGAAAGTGGACAAGTGTGAACTCTGCTGCCTTAGCTTAGCATGTTATTAATTGTTATTACTCATCTCTTGTCATGTAAATATGGAGAATGGGGAACTATCTGCATTTTTGGGAGCTAATTGGCAAGGGTAGGTCTGAGAATTTTGGAGATAGGGGTAAACACAATCAACTGGCCCTTTTAAGCTACTTACACTGAGGAGTTTTTGAAGCGTATGCATGTCTATGTATGTTTTCACACTGGGGCGTTGCACTTCCCTTGCGGTGTAAAAACTCCTGCTTGCAGCATCTTTGGTGCGTGTTTGTTCAGTTAAAAAAATGCCCTAAAAACGCCTCTTCCCATTGAAATCAATGGAAAGCGCCAGAAAAATGCCTGAAAAGCGGGTGTCCTTTAAAAAACACTCAGAAAGCGTGGCAAAAGCATGGTAAAAATGTGTCCTTTCAAAAACGCTCAGAAAGTGCAGCAAAAAGCGTGGTAAAAATGTGTCAAAAACCAATTTTTTTTTACATTTTTATTTTTTTTTCTTATTATTTATGTTTTTTTTAACATACTGTCACCCTAGCAGTACAGTGTCACCATAGTGACACTGTACTACTTGTGGGGGGTGATGAAGATTTTTTTTTTACACTGATTGCTTTTACACACATAAAGGCTGTAAAAGCAATAATTTCTCCTTCTCTCTGACTGCATTCTTGCAGCCATTGAGAAATACTGTGAGAGCTTTGATTGGTCACAGCCAGGGGCGGACTGACAACTCACGGGGCCCCCAGGCAATAGGGGATCATGGGGCCCCTGTGTCCTTGCCCAAACTCAAAAAAGCCTATGAAAAAGGTACCAGGGGCATCTCATGGGGCCCTCTACTGACCCCGGGCCCTCAGGCAGTGCCCGCATTTCCAAATGGTCAGTCCACCCCTGGTCACAGCTTGTCACATGGTGCAAGGCTGTTGTGAATAGCCTTGTACCATGTTACTTCTGTGATCATTCAGAGATTTCACTAGTAGTAAGCAATGATGTCAGCAAGTGACATCTTGCTTACTACTATTCATGTGATCACTGATTGGCCAATCAGTGTTCACATGATCGGGACCTCACACAGAGGTCCCGTACAGCGATCGGTGCCACGCGCTCCCAGGGAGCGTGCACAGGCTGTAAAGGCTGGCGCCGTTTATGAACGGCAACCCGCTCCTGCACTGCTCCCGTCCAGCCGTTTATGTACATGGGCCGGACGGGAAGTGGTTAAATACCAAATAAAATAACATACCATAATTACAAATATTCCTTCTACTTCGACTTCCATGAAGACATGAGCAGGACACATTTCACAGTTTTGCATTCTTCCAGCACTGACTTCCTTGTAGCACACTGCATTTGGTTGCATATCATCTCAAAGCCACGAAGTCAAAAAACTTTGAGGATGGAAAACTTACCCCAGCTAGGGGTAGTGATCACAAGTCTGAACAGGGCGAATGTACTGTAATTATAATGTCTAGCAGCTGTAACTAACTGCGGGTCCTGTTCTGTATGGGGCAGTATCTTCACTCAGGACCACAAGTTCAATATCTACTATTTGTAGAGGCCTGGGAGAAAATGTCCCCAAAGCCCAGTCCTCTCCAGTAATTTCCCTTTCTACACTCATCACAGGGTAGCGTGAGCTCACTTAAATTCTTTGCTGGTCGATTCAGCTTATCTCAGGAGAAACATGTCATGATTTTCTATTAAAAACAAGCAGTATGTCAGAACTCTTGTGTGACATTTTCCAAGTTTCATCATCGTAGTGAACCAGGTTTTCTGAGTATGTATGAAACTTATGACCTCTAGCAAATTACCTCAAAGGTTTTAAAATTGTGAGAAATATAAATACTAAAGACTTCATTTTAGGGGCTTCTATAAAAATGCCTCATACATTTCAATAGCACTTTATAATTAGATACCTGCATATGAATGCAAAGTAATAGCTGTCTTCCGGGCAGTACTCTTTCTGATTGACTGAAGTTTAGGAATTTGTTGAGGTAATTGCCTGTATGTCTGTGTGTATGTATTATATCATTGGAATGGTTAATATTGACAGATAGTTACAGTATGATAGTCAAGGTATACCTGTCAGGAGAGAAATGTGGAAACATTTTTGACCTTCTTCTGAAAATGCCTGGAGGTTTTTGGCTGACCCAATGGCTTTAAAACTATGCATTATTAACCCAGATTTTATAACTGGTTCAAATATAACTTAATATGTACTTAATGGGACTTATTCGTTTAGATGGTATAAAAAGTAATGTAAATATGCAAGGTGCAATGTTTTACTTTGCTCATTATACAGCAATGACAACTGTGAAACAGTTCCAATTATTAAAGACAAATAAAGCTTGAGCTACTTCATTTAATGAGAAAATCCCATCATTCCACAATGAGAAATTTGGACAGGGGGATTTATATGTCATAACAGAAAATCTATGAAAGAAAAATAAAAGACAATATACAATTTTAATAATACATTTAAATCCACTCTGTGTAAAAGTCACAACATATCAACTATTCATACCCCTTGAAATGTTCCACATTTTGTCATATTACAACCAAAAACGTAAATGTATTTTATTGGGATTTTATGTGATAGACCAACACAAAGTAGCACATAATTGTGAAGTGGAAGGAAAATGATAAATGGTTTGCAAAATTTTTTACAAATAAGTATCTGAAAAGTGTGGCATGATTTGTATTCAGCCTCAATACTTTGTAGGACCACCTTTTGTTGCATTCACAGTTGCAAGTCTTTTTTGGGGATGTCTCTACCAGCTTTGCACATCTAAAGAGAGTGAAATTTTTGCCCATTCTTCTTTGTAAAATAGCTCAAGCTCTGTCAGATTATATGGAGAATGTCTGTAAACAGCAATTTTCACATCTTGTCACAGATTCTCAATTGGATTTAGGTCTGGACTTTGTCTGGGCCATTCTAACACACAAATATGTTTTGATCTAAACCATTCCATTGTAGCTCTGGCTGTATGTTTACGGTCGTTGCCCTGCTGGAAGGTGAACCTCCACCTCAGTCTCAAGTTTTTTGCAGACTCTAACAGGTTTTCTTCTAAGATTGCCTTGTATTTGGTTCCATCCATCTCCCCATCAACTCTGACCAGCTTCCCTGTCCCTGCTGAAGAAAAGAATCTCCACAACATGATGCTACCACCACCATGTTTCATGATGGGGATGGTGTGTTCAGGATGATCTGCAGTGTTAGTTTTCCGCCACACATAGCACTTTGCTTTTAGGCCAAAAAGTTAGGTTTTGACCAGAGCACCTCCTTCCACATGTTTGCTGTGTCTCCCATATGGCTTCTTGCCCAGCCTGTCAGTTTTGGTGGATGGCCATATCTTGGTAGATTGTAGTTGTGTCATACGCTTTCCATTTTCAGATGATGGATTGAACAGTGCTCTGTGAGATGTTCAAAGATTGGGATTTTTGTTTATAATCTAACCCTGCTTTAAACTTCTCTACAACTTTATCCCTGACCTGTCTGGTGTTTTCCTTGGCCTTCATGATACTGTTTATTCACTAATGTTCTCTTAGCAAACCTCTGAGGGCTTCACAGAACAGCTGCATTTATACAGAGAATAAATTATGCACAGGTGGACTCTATTTACTAATTAGGTGACTTCTGGAAGCAATTGGTTCCACTAGATTTTAGTTAGGGGTATCAGAGTAAAGGGGGCTGAATACAAATGCACATCACACTTTTCAGATATTTATTTGTAAAAAATGTTGCAAACCATTTATAATTTTCCTTCCACTTCACAATTATGTGCCACTTTGTGTTGGCCTATCACATAAAATCCCCAAAAAATACATTTACATTTTTGGTTGTAACATGACAAAATGTGGAAAATTTAAAGGGGTAGGAATACTTTTTCAAGGCACTGTACATAGAAATCAGCAGTCCAAAAGTATAGCCTTAATAAGTAGTCCTATGGAGAACTACCTTGCCAAAAACACACCCCTCATTCAAAAAGAAGGATGAACAGTCTTAAAAACACACAAAGTAATCATGCCAGATAGAGGCAGTCTGCCTAGATAGAGCAATCCACTAAATATAATGTCGAACAAGTCCAGGGACACGTATAAGCTTCATAGATTAAAAGGCTGGCTAATCTCCACTTCCTGGTGCATTACACAAAATGTAGCTGGTCCATGTAAGATGGAGCCTATGGCCCCAAAGCTTAAGTTACTGACCTCAGTAAACAGCAGGATTTCTTCAAAAGATGCGGCTTATCATAGTCAAGTACATTTGTGAAAAGGGACATAGAGTTTGGCTGGCTGCAAATGAAAATACAGAATTATGCAATGAGGAGATTTACTAAAACTGGTGCACATTGAGTCTGGTGCAGCTCTGCATAGAAACCAATCAGCTTCTAGGTTTTAGTGTCAAAGCTTAACGAAATAAAGTGAAGTTAGAAGCTGATTAGTTACTATGCACAGCTGCACCAGATTCTGTGTGCACCTGGTTTATTAAATCTCCCCCAATATTTTACTCTTGCCTATCTACAAGGATTTGTGTCTGTTAGTTCTGATAATATTAAATAAAACACAGCTCTAAGGTACCTAGAATGACAAAAACCATAACTAAAATGAATATGGTATGATTATGTATCAATATTAATATTATAATTTAGTACTTTGGTGAATTTCACCCGTATCATATTATTTTTTTCCAGATAATTGAAGATTGGAAATATGTTGCCATGGTTGTGGACAGACTCTTTCTATGGATATTTATCATTGTTTGCGTTGTGGGAACAGTTGGACTTTTCATGCAGCCACTACTACAAAACCAGACTCCATCTGGAAGTCATTAGTGAAAAGAAAGCTGCAGAACATTACTGTAATATTGACAATGCTTCCTAATTTGTCCAAAGGATAACACATTTTTTTTATATATTTTGTTTTATAAGTGCATTATGGAAAGGTCAGGGAACTGCTTTTACATACAGCTTATTCTGGAATGCTTGGACTTAATTTGCATTTTTAGACAATATCCAACCTTTTATGATAAAGTATGACTAGCTCTGTAAACTGAATTAAATCCATTTTTTTAGTAAAATGTACATTTAATGAGTTAAAGATGAACTATAGCGAAATAAACAAGATTTATGCCTATTGTACACTTTGTCTGCACCGTGCACATTCTGGAGTCATGTCATCATAGAAGTGGTTATTGATAAATTAAAGTGAAACTTGCACACATTTATGTTGCATTAGGTATCTAAAAGTCTTGCATATAGTACACCTATCATTAAATATATCAGTATGCATCAGTAGATAGGGTGCCTTCGCTGATCTTTTTCTGACAATTCTAGCTGCCATTGCTTGTTTCAGTAGCTTCTAAGCAGGGGCGGACTGACAACTCATGGGGCCCCCGGGCAATAGGGGATCATGGGACCCCTGTGTCCTCGCCCACACTCAAACCACACACAAAAAAGTCTATGAAAGGTATCAGGGGCATCTCATGGGGCCCCTTACTGACTCCAAGCCCTCTGAATGGTCAGTCCGCCCCTGCTTCTAAGTAATTAACACAGAAAAAACATGTAGGTAATAAAAATTTTGTAACAGTTGAAAATTTTTATTAAGAGTTTTTAAGTTACAATGTAAGAAAACAACAAATCATCAAAACAGCGTACTTCAAATATTATAGAATGTACAAAGAATGTAATTCAAAGAGATATCTGACATGTACAAGCTTCATAAAGACTAAGTTATAGAAATCACATAAGTGATGCTCAAGTTGAATCTATCCATGCAGACCACACTTTGTCATATTTGGAAAGTCAGCCTCTACTCATACGATATATAGCCAAAAGTATTGGGACACCCTTCCAAATCATTGGATTCAGGTGTTTCAATCACCTCCATGGCCACAGGTGTATAAAATCAAGCACCTAGGTATGCAGACTGCTTGTACAAACATTTGTGAAAGAATGGGTCACTCTCAGGAGCTCAGTGAATTCAAGCATGGTACCGTGATAGGTTGTTTCCTGTTTACATAAGTCCATCTGTGGAATTTCTTTGTTACTAAATATTCCATGGTAAATTGTTAGTGGCGATATAACAAAGTGGACGTAACTGGGAACAATGGCAACTGAGTCACGAAGTGGTAGACAATGTAAAACGACAGAGCGGGGTCAGAGTAAGCTGAAGCACACAATACACAGAAGTCGCCAACTATCTGCAGAGTCAATAGCTAAAGACCTCCAAACTTGATGTGGCCTTCAGATTAGCACAACAACAGTGTGTAGAGAACTTCATGGGTTTCCATGGTCAAGCAGCTGCATCCAAGCCTTACATCACCAAGAGCAATGCAAAGCATCGGATGCAGTGGTGTAAAGCACGCTGCCAATGGACTCTAGAGCAGTGGAGACGTGTTCTCTGGAGTGACGAATCATGCTTCTCTGTCTGGCAATCTGATGGATGGCTCTGGGTTTGGCTGTTGCCAGGAGAATATACTTGCCTGACTGCATTGTACCAAGTGTAAAGTTTGGTGGGGGGGGTTATGGTGTGGAGTTGTTTTTCAGGGGTTTGGCTTGACCCCTTAGTTCCAGTGAAGGGAACTCTTAAGGCGTCAGCATACCAACACATTTTGGACAATTTCATGCTCCCAACTTTGTAGGAACAGTTAGGGGATGACCCCTTCCTGCTCCAACATGACTGCACACCAGTGCACAAAGCAAGGTCCATAATGAAATGGATGAGCAAGTTTGGGGTGGAGGAGCTTAACTGGCCTGCACAGAGTCCTGACCTCAACCAAATAGAACACCTTTGGGATGAATTAGAGCGGAGACTGTGAGCCAGGCCTTCTTGTCCAACATCAGTGCCTGACCTCACAAAATGCACTTCTGGAAGAATGGTCAAACGTTCCCATAGACACACTCCTAAACCTTGTGGACAGCCTTCCCAGAAGAGTTGAAGCTGTTATAACTGAAAAGGGTGGGCCAACTCAATGTTGAACCCTACGGACTAAGACTGGGATGCCATTAAAGTTCATGTGCGTGTGAAGGCAGGCTTCCTAATACATTTGGCAATATAGTGTATATGTCAATTGGTACATAGGAAGTGCGGAGTTAATTGACAAACACCAAAGAGGAGAGTTTCCAATTGAGGAGAATTTCTCTTCTATCATAGTAAAATGCATAAAAGAGCAATAAATTAATATTTATATATAATCCTCTGCGCTTAGTAAAAAATAATCAGTGTAGCAATACAGAGAAAGATGCAACCTACAATGTTGTCAGAATACACAAACACTTCCAGATATCAAAAGGTTAATGTGGATGTGCTAACTCAACTCAACTGCAATCTGTTCACTGCCACTTCAGTCTCCAACCACCACAAAAAAGTGGCTTGTGTAGTAAACATAAATAATGATATTAATAATGGTAATAATAACAAGACGTCCCAAGAGTTTATCTGGGTAAGCCGATACAATGCAGATCACCCACAGCCTCTTTGCAGCATCTTCAGTGTACCTCCACTACGCCAGTGAGCAAACAGATCGCCCTACCAGAAGGTAGGAGTCAGACTGATGTTACCATGTAATAACTCCTGTTACCATGTAATACCAGACCTCCAAGGTGTCATGCTCACACTGCCTGAAGTATCTGCACAGTGACAGCAATCACATTATGCATATCAAAGAAAGAACCTCCATAGTGCATAAACCCTTTAACATTTTTATTTTAACACAGATTGCGCACTTACATCACCGTTATTCGTATGAGCGAGTATACAAAGCACTCCAAAACGCACACCATGCATGATGACATCACTGCCTTTTGTCTGCACACCTGTGTCCTTAGGGGAATGCAGAAATGGGATTGAGCTGGATGGGTGCACCATAGCAATGCCATAATGAAAGACTGGAGCACTAAACAAATAGGTTGGCTCCTTGTGTGCATGGATGGGGTGATGAGGGAGTCAAACGCCTGCCAGATTTTTTGTTGTATGTGTCCTCATTACAGAAAATTCACTTTTTCTATTTGTTCTGTTAACCGCTGTTACCAGGGAAATCAAATGACAAATAAGACACTCTATTCCAGGGGCGGACTGACCATTTGGAAACTTGGGGTCAGTAGGGGGCCCCATGAGATGCCCCTGGTACCTTTTTCATAGTCTTTTTTGAGTTTGGGCAAGGACACAGGGGCCCCATGATCCCCTATTGCCCGGGGGCCCCATGAGTTGTCAGTCCGCCCCTGCTCTATTCCTTTTAATTTAGTTGGTAGAATTAACCTTTTGAAAATGATTTTCCTGCCCAAACTTTTTTAAGGCATTCCCCGCATTCCTTCCTAAAAAGCTTTTCCATAGAATAGAAACCAATATCTTTTCTCTTATTTGGCAATGCACCCACACACACTTTCAAATCTGCTCTGCAAACTGCAATTAAAATGGGTGGTCTAGCTCTTCCCAATCTACGTGACTACTTGTGCACTTTAATACACAGCTGGTTTATTGAGATAAAGCTGCTATTCAGGTTACAGCCACAATAGTGGGTTCACTTGAGCTGATGCACAACCTGGTCTATCATACTTCTCTTCATACATAAACAAGCTTTCCCAGTAGATGTTTCAGTCTTCGCATGGCACAAAGCCAGGTTACTGTTGGGTGATAATTTAGACCATGTTTCTCAGACATGCGATACAGTCCCAATTTTACCTGAATTATATAATCACCTTAATACCTACTGGTAGGCTGTCAATGAGATAAAGTACTTGACACGCCTTTTATTACAGTGGTGTGCGTATGGATTTCCAGATGCTCAAAACTGAGAAACATAGTGCCTTGAAAAAGTATTCATACCCCTTGAAATTTTCCACAATTTGTCATGTTACAACCAAAAAAAATACATTTATTTTATTGGGATTTTATGTGATAGACCAACACAAAGTGGCACATAATTGTGAAGCGGAAGGAAAATGATAAATGGTTTTTAAAATTGTTTACAAATAAATATTTGAAAAGTGTGGCGTGCATTTGTATTCAGCCCTCCCCCCCGAGTCAATACTTTGTAGAACCACCATTCGCTGCAATTACAGCTGCAAATCTTTTTGGGGATATCTCTACCAGCTTTGCACATCTAGAGAGTGACGTTTTTGCCCATTCTTTGCAAAATAGCTCAAGCTCTATCAGATTGGATGGAGAGCTTTTGTGGACAGCAATTTTTAAGTCTTGCCACAGATTCTCATTTGGATTTAGGTTTGGACTTTGACTGACCCATTCTAGCACATGAATATGCTTTGATCTAAACCATTCTATTGTAGCTGTGGCTGTATGTTTAGAATCGTTGTCCAGCTGGAAGGTGAACCTCCTCCAGTCTCATGTCTTTTGCAGACTCCAACAGGTTTTCTTCTAAGATTGCCCTGTATGTGGCTCCATCCATCTTCCCATCAACTCTGACCAGCTTCCCTGTTTATGCTGAAGAAAAGTATCTCCACAACATGATGCTGCCACCACCATATTTCAAGGTGGGGATGGCGTGTTCAGGGAGATGTACAGTGTTAGTTTTCTGCCACACATAGCATTTTGCTTTTAGGCCAAAAAGTAAAATTTTGGTCTCATCTGACCAGAGCACCTTCTTCCACATGTTTGCTGTGTCCTTCACATGGCTTCTCACAAACTGCAAACAGGATTTCCTATGGCGTAGGTGATGTGGTGATGCAACTTCCGGCATGGACTCCATCTTGGTACTCCATATGAACCCATGCAAACTACACCCATAGCATGAGGTTGAAAATGCATGTTGTATACTGATACCAAGTGAGTGATTAATTGGCTTTTTTACAATTACATTAGTCTAATAAACTGTATT